ATCGCGCATGTTGTTCTTGGTGATAGTAATCTGGGCGATGTACTGCTGCAACTTCGAGCAGTCGTAGCTATAATAACTGATATGACCCACATCTTCTCGCAGATGACGTCTGCCACGACTCTGCTAAAACAGGTACAATAATTGGCGTCGCCTTGGCTGAACGTTGACAACTTCTTGGGGTATACTCCGGAGTACTCCTAATGGTAGCACGCTCGACTTGTAGTCGCATTTGAAGGCGAAGTAGCCGGCTGCTCGGCAGTCTTAGGTTTGCTTAGCTCAATGTTCGACTGGTAAACTACCATTAGGCCAAATCTGGGGATGCAATTTGCTTGGCGCACGATTAGGCCTCTGGAAACCGTTGGGCGGGAATTCGTAGCGTTGCCGAAACTCCGTCGTTCCAAGACTCTGGATGTCTAGAACCTCATTCTCGACGTATTGACTGATCTTTGGATGGAGGACTGTGTGCTTGCTGGACCCCGAAACCTACTTTCATCTGATTGAGTTGTGAGGATACGTCTCCATATGATGTTGCCATGCCACCAAGTCCAAAGGTATCAGTGTCTTGCCGAGTTTGTATTGCTAGACTCTGTCGAGTAAGGGTGCCCCCAGAGCTTTGATCTGTTCGCTTTCGCGTTGCTTAATCGTCTGCCAGATGGGTTGCAGTCGATCTGGCCCAATGCGTTCTCATCATGCCGAAATCGTATAACTCAGCCGGTTCATGAAATTCGACATCTGTCTGCATTTTGACGACTTCCGCAATCCAGTGTTCCAGAAAAGGCCAGTTTGTTTGTGAAGTGTATGGAGAAGCTGAACAAGACGAATGCCTTCAATATCGTGGATGCGCTCGAGAAGTCTCAGCTTCGAGTTCTCGTATGCCTGTATCGCGTAGATACCCATAGTCTGACAAGGTGGTTGTGTGGCAAATGTAGCGCGACGCATGCCTGGGCACCACTAACACATGGGACCACATTTGGCAAATGGCGATACAGCGACAATTGATCCATGGCTACGACGTTCCGAATAGTATTAGTTGGCTGTATGTGCATTTAGGTTAGAGCGCGATCTCGGCCTCGGCGGGTGGAAGAGAGGTGCAGAAGGCGCTTGGACGATGCGATGACATAATCTCGCGTAACCCGCACTAGAACTAATCTAGATTTGCCCGTGTTTTGCTGGTCTCGCAGCAGCCAAGACTACGGCGAGTGGTATGATACTTTGCATTGAAGTTCATCGATTCTCCAAACATTACTCACTAAGCACATAGACTTCAGAGAAACCACCTTTTCCGCCTGGTTAAGGTGACGCAGCAGTAGTAGCGATTTCTACAATCTATAGTAAGAAAAAACGAAGTAATGGCATGTCGTGCTATATGCTCCACAAAGAATCATCAGCAGAAGTATCCCTAGTCCACTCCGCCCAACACTCGCTGCTGATGTCGACATATTGTTCTGCGATATCCAAAGTTTTCCACTCGTTTCCCAATACCCTCATACCCATCAGCAACGGCCGTTGGCTCACATGCTTGGAGAGATTGGGATTTTCATCCATGTCGTGATGATCGAGCGTGAGTATAAAGTGCGGACGGGCACCGGCTGTGAATGCACGCCGTCTTGGGTATGATAGCTGCAGTACGCTTGGAGGCAGGGTGGCCAAGTTCTCTCGCATACGCTCGCCTTGGTCCCTCCAATCCAATAGTACGGTCGCCGCATGTGCGTTTAGTATACTTGTTAGATGGGATAGACGCATTACGTCTTTGTTGTAAATGCGGGCCACTAGCTTATTAATGTGTGCAGTCCCCTCCAGCCACTGATCACTCGGAGTGTAAATGCCGATGCAACTACACGGTGGGTCGGTGACAAAGTGCGATCCTATATGGGAGTACAAGGGTCCAAGTGGGAACTTGAGCGGATGAAGGAGGCCTTCAGTGGGAGCATTGGTATTTAAGTAAATGTGACAGCGACCGCGATGTGTCTCGAATCCGCCAGTGTATAGGCGCTCCAGACATGGATGCAACGTGAACTGCGTAAAGTCCAGCCACTGCGGCTGCGGTTTGAAGTCGTTGTCTTGGGCGGGGTTAATGTCCCAAGCCACGCGATATGCGTAGCGCACGAGTTCTGCGACGGATGGCTTGAGCATATGCGATTGAGTAAGCCGAGCGGGTGCGTACGTCCATATGTTCCACCCGTTTGTATCCAGGAGAATCGAACACATTGCGTGGACCTTTTCTTCGAAAGCAAGTAGCTCTTCGGGGGTTACACGAAGGTTAACATTGTTAGTCGAACACACATCAGAGTATTCGACCGGGTTCTGATACGGTGTATTTTCGAAGGGGTCCTGGAGAATGCGCTTCACAGTCGCTCGCCATAGCGTACAGACTTGGCCGGCGTGCAGTTGGGTCTGAAGGTCCGCGCTGTATAAGATCAGCTCGACCAGTTCCGCTATGTTCAAAACGCGGTGAGCAGCGGATGCAGTCGACGATGGATTCCGACCATGTTCATTACTCGGATCTGAAGTTGAAGGCGACGGTCCTGAGTCTACTGGATATCTGGCAAGCTGTGCATCAAGTAGAGCAACAAGGGAATCCTTCCAAACGTGCCACCTACGCAAAGACGTTAGATCAATGTTTCTAGCTGCCGCGTCCAAAAAGAGGCTACGCCTTTCCCTCAAACTAGGGCCAGATGTCGCGCCGTACTCCGGGCTCTCAAAATAGGCTGCCGCGTCAAGCAATCGGGCTCGTAGTTCCAGAGGAATGGGCGATGGAGAAATTAGGGTAGAAATGGCCAATGGATTAAATGGGGTAGTGGTCAATGGAGCCTCGATTCCAAACCATTTGAGCAAAAGATTGTTTTCCGTAGCAGCATCGCTTGCCTGTGGGGGGAGGGTGGTGTCTGCCATTCTGAGAGTGAGCTAGAGGGTGATGTCAAGTTGTCGGTGGGTCGCGCGGCGCTACCTCGGTCACACGCTGACTAATCCACTAGCCGGAGCTCGAACAAAACTCTCCGCGCCGCCGCCACCCTCTCTTCTTTTCCATATAGAAAGTTGCACCCACGAAATTTGACCTCACTCTTTGTTCCTCTACAAGATTGAAGTTGACATAAGCTGGGGAGAACGAACATCTTTGCCCCCAAGAACTGCCTGCCCCTACCGAATGGGCTGTCGGTCCCGTGGCTCCGAGACATTCCATTAAGAAATTTTCATCATTGCGACGTCTCCCTTCGCCTCGAACGATACCGACACGTATACGCACGAGTGACACGATGGATGCATAAGCGCGACCAAGGCGGTAGACGTGATCGCTTTGGAAGCGCTGTACAATAGGATGGCCCGCAAGACCAAGGCGATTGACCACATGGTCAATCGCATGAGCAAAGTGCGGCTGGTGGATGAGCGCGCTGCCCCACCGCCCGATGTTCAAGACGATGCGCAGGAAGATGACAAGAAGGCTGTCAAGCGCCAGCCCTTCCGCTTCTTCGATCTGCCATCCGAGCTGCGATTGCGCATCTACGAAGAGCTTCTGGTCTTCCCCAAGACCATCGACCTCGACCCTACGAATTACCGCACCGTCGCCCCCGCCCTCCGCCTCTTCCTCGTCGACCATCGCATGCACGATGAAGCGTCGCGCGTCTTCTACGGTCGCAATACCTTCCGCGTGTTCCCCATTCACGGCCGCTACATAAACCGCAAACACCCGCTGCTTGCATGGTTCCCTCGCAAATACCGCGCGCTCCTTACGCGCTTAGAGCTGCGACTGGGGCCAGGCTTCACGAAACCGCCGAAATGCTGGGTCGTGGATAGCCGGCTCGGTCTGGCGGCGGTGAAGAAGGTGTACAAATTGAAAATCTTTGTAGAGATTGACCCGGCATCGAACGAGGTGTTTGAGGGCTGGCGCGTGGGGAACAACTTCTATACCGAGTACTGCGTCGGGCTGCTGAGAGGCTTGCTCGCGCAGGTGCCGTCGATTGACGACGTGGAGTTCGACGCATATCCAAGCGTGTCCAAAGACAGCCCGCTGCTGAAGGGCCTGGTAGAAGAGACCAAGCTCAATCAGAAGCGCGTTGCCTGGGGCCCTGAGAGGGGCTGGGACAAGATTGTGGAGGTTGACCTGGCCAGCGTGTTGCAGAAGATGGGGCTTGGAGCTCAATGAAATGAGTCTGTCCCGTAGCATTCGCGATGTCATGCTATGCGCTGCACACTTCGCGTCACTTATGTATATTCATGTATCATTCTTTGGTTCTTGATACTCATACCCAAGGTTACTTGTCCAGTTTGCTCTTTCCCTTTCTAGTCGCTGTAACAATGTTCGGGAATGGGTGTAGCGTTCAGCCGTGCCTGCCCAAATGGGTGTGAGAACTCGGCCCCGCTCTCAGCCTGCCTACAATACCTGTTCTGGCCCCGTAACCTCGTCGTTCCCCACAAAATCACTATGCTGATCACACACAACAGCCTTGCCTCTGTCGGAGCACGATGTCGGAAGGACCTGGCAAAGATCAAGTTGCAGACTACGGACCAGCGTCACACGCCGCGCACACCACTTACACCACCATGTCTGCGCCCGCCCGCGCCGTAACGGACGACGACACTTACGTATACGCATTCTTCGACCAGAGCGATGCCGATCAGTCCTCCCAGAAGCCGCCTCCTTCTTGACATCAATAACACGGCGCGACTTGATAAGGAAACCGACACGCGTGTTCGGTCCTCGCATTCGCTTGGTTTACCAACGCATCCTCTTCACATACAAAGAGAATGTTTGTAATATGGACCTCACATTCAATTCTCATCACGCAGGCTCTTCCGACTTCACTGCGCGCACGGATGTTGTCGTTTCCGCTGCCGTATATATTGGGGCGCGTCCTAGACTTCGGCTCTCCTCCACTAGATCTCGCGCTTTTTCTGTCAGAGCTACTACTCCTTCATATCGCCAACAATTACCAGAAGTGTACGTAATCGAAGACATGAGCGCGGCAAACGACAATTCCGCTTCCGCGATACCTGGCCAAACCATGTCGATGCAGTCACACCCCATCAACCCAGAGGCACCGTCTCTCTTGACAACAATACCAGGCGAAGTCCGCAATGCTATCTTCGAGGCTCTATTCGAGTCAGGCGACCCCATTCAGATCTCCCGCGATCGGTACGCGTACGGCTCCTCATGTTACCAGTCGCGAGATGTGCGTGGGATCACGCTACTTCGAACATGCCGTCAGATCCACAAGGAAGCAACAGGTATTCTCTACAGTCGCAACATCTTCTGTGTGAGTCCGGCGGGCGACCCCTACACTGCTGAACCAATTCCATGGGCAATGGCCTGGCTCAACGAGATTGGTAGACAGTCTTCCTCTGTTCGACATCTTCAAATCTACATCGACAACGTATTTCACGGTGCGGATGATGTCATCAATATATCACCTATACTACATCAAGCATGGAAGCCTGATCGTGCGGCTTTAAAGGTTGAGCTTCTCCCTAGATGGTCTCCGGAATGGGACCGCCCCCCAGGCGACGACCTCAACAGAACAGCCGAGCTGAGCGCGGTCTCATGTAACAGGCAGATGGCTATAATCATTGATGATCCGTCAGGAATGATCAAAAGATTCTGTTCTGTGCCTTCATTACTACGAGAAGTCTGCCTGAACTTCCTGGACCACTATGCTCACCTTCATTACTATCATGCAACCAAGAGCGACGGCGGTCTACTATCTATGGACACGATTGATATAGTCGAAAACGGTGCGGAGAGTACATTTTCGAGAAGAATACCGATTACGGACATCAAACGCATAATGTCGTGCTGCGAAACTCGAAACACTATCTTGACCATGGCATTGTGTCCAGACGAGGGCATTATCTTTGACCTCACAAACCGGACAACAAACGTGGATGTGGCCTACATCGCATCGGTCACTACTTACTTGACTGGCACACACGAGATCGGTTTCCGGGAAAGAGCATTCAGTGTCACATTGACAAGTATTAGTACCCTGGCAGCTTTTACCGCGGAACTAAAGATACTCCGCGGACTGCCTCTCGGAAGTCCTACGAATATAACCATTCGCTACTATCTGGAAATTGACGCCTCCTTGGACGATGTACAGTTCGATGCTCTCGCTCTACTGCATGCGACGGGCTCTCACTACCTATTAAATTTTGTGCGCATCGAGGTCTACAACGAATCTGGCACTGCCCCAATCAAGAGCTACACTATCTCTCTTGAGGATATACGACGGAGCGTTCTTCTCTTCATGTACCAGATTTTTAAGAAAGCTCCAGAGCATATGCTAGCGCAACTACCAAGGATCTGGATGAGTGGCAGGGGCGAGGCGCGGGAAGCCGAGTGGGACTTGAGCAAGTGTTCTATCGAGCCGATCGTGAATGAGAACGTGGGCATCAGCTCGACAATCATTCAAGCACGCTGCGAAGGAATTTTAGGGATGTTGGAAAGCATGCTCATTCCAAACAATTTTCCGCCTGACTCTATGGGGGATCTCGCAACACGGTTTTGGTACTAGGTAGGCCATGGATTCCGCTGCATGCAGTCTATCAAGTATGGATAAATCCAGAGTGGCTAGGGCAATGTATGCTTCAAACTAGAATTGTCTTGTAGAATACCTAATGCGACATGCATTCGATTGTCCCTTAATGCCAGGTGCTGTGGAAGAAGATAATAGCGTCATCGCAACTCAGACAACTAAGTACAACTGAAACATTAAGAGGCAATGTAGACCTCCAGGGTAACCTTTGCTATATTCAATACGTGTTTGGTCTCTCTCCCGAATTGGCTAACCTTATTATTCGTCACATACACCAAATACATGCATCGAACATTAGTACAGTGCAATCTAATCCAGCTTCACAAACCTTTCTTCGCCTAAGTACAGGGCATATCGTAAGAAGCTCTGCGGTTATCGCTATCCATGACGTAGCTCTTTCCATTTGGTGCAGCAAACGGCCGCAGTCTTGGCAGTCGCGCTCTCTCACCTCAGAATCCTCGACTCAGAAAGCTTTTCCCACCACCAACGATTACCCTTGTTTTTTCTCTCACACACCCATTCCGAGATACTGATCGCCAGACTCGCTGCGACTGAGATCACTCCCGCAACGTGACAGCGAGCGACATGAGGGCGACACCCAGTACCACAACCGGCGGCGCGACTGCCGCTACCCCCAGTGACGCGGAGTCAAGCGACATGGCTGTCACCAAGATCGCGAACACGCAAAAAGACACGGAAGCGGCGACTGCAACGGACAACGTTCCGCCGCCAGTATCGCACCCAATCGACCCGAATGCGCCTTCATTGTTGAATCTGCCCGGAGAAGTTCGCAACGCCATCTACGAGGCACTCTTCATTCACGAATATCCTATTCAGATCCATGCGAAGAACATCAATCGACTCGGCTACCACTCCGGCTACCGCTCCGACAGTGTTATCTTCGGAACTGCGCTCCTCCAGTCATGTTGTCAAATCCAGTATGAGGCCACTGGTGTCTTGTACGCGCGAAACGTGTTCCGTTTAAGGCTCCCCGAAGATGCGGACGAGCGTAGTGGCATTATTTGGGCTATGGGCTGGCTTCGCATGATCGGCAAACAGTCGTCTGCTCTTCGCGTCATCCAGCTTGATGTCAACAACTTGCTTGACGCCGACGAAACCTTAGAAGTCCTACCAATACTGGAGTATACCTGGAAGCTGGAACACAAAGAAATGAACGTTCTATTTGTGGCACCACCCGAGGTGCACAGTAGTATATCATACTTCCAAAGCAATCGGGAATGGTCCGCCAGCCACATGGCTGAGATTAACAAAAGCTTGAGTACGCTCACCGCTGATCCCTCCAACCTTCTTAAGAAGTATTGGATTTCTAAAATGCTGTTGAGGGTCGGACTCGATACAGATGAATCGAAAGTATACGTTTCATACCGCCATAATGACTCTGGTGGTGGTAACTGGATGACGAAAGGCCGCATGTCAATCAGCGATGAAGGTAAGCTGCGTGTGATCCCGCCGAACAGGAACACAGGGTTTTGCGACCTCATGAGTATATACTCCGTTAGGAAGAGGCTTTTCGATATGTTCCAGCCCCCAGGAGTTGAACTGACCTTCGACTTGGCGCACCAGACTACGAACAGCAACCTTAGAAGCCTAGCTGGGCTGAATCGTTGGTTACGTCACGAAGCCATCTCAGAAATTTGCGATGTCAATTCAACCTTCAACTCAGCAACTTCGACGCCGAAATACAACTTTGCGACCGAGCTGGAGAGATTCACAGCCATCCGACTACGGGGTCGCCCGCGCTACTTTCATCTGTATTTCGACCTACCGAAGCACTCTACTCTTGGAGATGTTCGGTTCGATGCACTGCTACTTTTATCTGCGATGGATTCGGTCAACCGCAAAGTCCATCTAGAGATCGAGGTACGCCATCCGCTCGATTCTGAGACACCAAACCACTGCTTCACGTTGTCCCTAGACCAACTAAGAGCTGGCGTTCTTCTCTTCATATACGATTTTCTGAAGACCTATCCCAACCGTGCCGATCTTCCGTGCCCTACTATCTGGACAAATGGATATGGTCAAGCGAAAGAAGCGTCATGGCAAAATGAGCTCGGGTTGGACACTCTGGTTAATTCATACCTGGACAACAGTTATAAGGTGACTGGGTGGATTGATTACAAACTCATGAATGACTGGAATTGGCTGGTCAACAGTCATCTCGGTCCTTGCGTTAAGGGCTCGTTGTTGGAGTTCCTTAGGAAGTCACATAGGTGGGGATATAGGTATGATCTGACGATATTATCGGGATAATTCGCTAATGCGTTCTAGCTTTTCGGATGCGGATTCGAGCTCTCCACTGCGTTTTTGAAGCTCTCGTGTCAAGGGGTTTCTTTCCATCGCACCAAGGACGAATTGGGATACGGTGAAGATTTAGTGAAGACTTCCGTTCCTCTGAAACCCACTTTCCCGCTCCTCGGTCTATCACATGGTTTTATCGTGCTTGTTCTTCATTTCTGTTTTTCCCAGCAACTGATCCTCTGATCATGGGAAGGAACTTGCCTCACACGAAATCGTTTGAGTTCGTTACCTCTTCATCAGCGAAACTGCAAGCATCATAGGATGTATGGATGTGTCTAGCTCGATAGCGCAAACGATATAGCAACCAATTCATAAAAAAGTAAGAGTCTTAGTTTTTGAAATGAACGAACAAGACCGAGCCGAGGCACGGAAGTTATCGGATACGTTTGCAGATGTAAGGTGCTGTCTATGAATGCGATGGCGAGCTTCTGCATGGTCGCACTACATATTGTTATTGGTCTACACGACGAAGACACAATTGCAGGCACTGTCATAGTTTGTGTAGGCGCGTTGCATACGCGGGCGACACGTATGAACAATGATCGCGATTCTGCTGCTCCTAGGAACTAGGCAATTAGGCAAGCAGCAATGTCGTTGTGGACCTGCATTGCGACATAGAATGCTCGTAGGCTGCGCGCGGAGAGGGAGTGTACGCGACGACCAATCACAGCACAGCAGACAAGTAATGACGCGTTACGTCATCGTGTCACTAGTCGAAGTCGCGCCTTCTGCCTTTCGCGACGACACCGACAACACAACAGCTCAGCGCTCCCTCGTAGCATCGCGTGAAGGCATTTTACTTTCCACACTTCAAAGGCGAACACACAACTGTGGTATCTATATTGCGTTCCTATCACCGGTTCCTCACGCTAACAACATCAATACAGCTCTCCAAACTTCCAGCCGCATACTGAAGTCGCGCCTCCGGAAAGCATCTCGCTGGCTATCGCCGCGCACACGGAAACGAACGAACCCTTAAGCCATATCTCGTCTACTCAGCTGCCGCCCTCACGAACAAACGCTCGATATCGGGAAGCATGTCCAATGGGTTCTCGCTCGCATCCAATGCCTGGTCCTCGACAAATTCGCCATCCCTGTCAACGTATGGCTGGGGGTCAAGTTCCCAATTCTGGTTCTTACAGAATCTAGCCAGACGAACGTTGCAGAACACAATCGACTTCAGTTCTTTGATGAGGCAGCGCTGACTGCTGTCACAGGAGGCGTCCTCATTCGGATCCTTGAACATGCGTACGATTGCAACCTGGAGAAATGGCTTTGCCGCTACGATATCGTCCATTGCACTGACAAGTTGTCGTCCGCAACACCTCACATAGCGATGCAGACCCCACGCCACGCGGCGATACCGGATATACTGGGGCAGGACGAATGTGATCTTGTTGAGTCTATGGGCGCCCGCCAGCATCCAAGCCAGACCATGCCACGAGTCTTCGAAGTCTAGTCGCGGGAAGCGCTCACGGAGTTTCCCTTTGGTCCACGGATATGGAAAAGGCATGTGGTCGTATACCTCGTGTGTGCGAAGCCAGGTGTGTGGGTTCCAGTGTGAGGCCATGCAACCGCGGTCCTCCGAGCGGCAAGGTATAGCCATGGTCATGGATTTCATGAATCCCAGGTTCCTCGGTCCAATCTTTGTCGCGAACGCATACGCTACCATGTGGCCGTTGAGACCCGAGAAGCGGAACTCATTGTTGCCGTAAAAGACCTCGGTGGCTTCAGTGCATACTTGCTTGCATGTACGTAGCAAGCCGAGGTTGCGTGCGCCGCGTCTGCCGAACATTTTTCGAAGTCTAGACCCGTTGCGTATTCTTCGGTAATACTCGGTATTCATGTCCCCGGTCTCTGGCCACAGCTCGATCGGCTCGTCGAATTCAAGGGCATGCCCGTAGATCATCAGACGGATTTCGAGAGGCATATCGAGGAAGCCGACGTTTTGAGGCTTGTTCTACCGACTTGTGAGTAGAGTATTATGTGTCCAGATCCATAGGGTACTTACCACAGGCTTCTGGAACTTACGTTCACCGCAGATGTGAGTGTATCGACGGTATGGACGGAGGTCGTCATAGGAGTGGACAAGGAACGCACGCTTAGCGTTCCGCTTTTTCATCTTCTCGGTGTGCGCTGCTTGCGCCGCTTGCGCCTCCTGTTCTCGCTTCATTGTCGCCTCCTCCATCTTTCTCATCTTCTCAGCGCGCGCTCCTTGCACCTCCTGCTCGCGCTTCAGTTCAGCTTCTTCTTTCTTGATCTCCTCTTGAGCCGCTTCCGCCTGCCCGGAACCCTTGTGCATGGTCTCGGCAATCTGTTGCGGCTCACTCGTCCCTGCTTGGGCAACTTTCCGAGCTTTTCGCGCTCGCCTTCTAGCTGATGCACTCTTCTTCTTGCGCTCGACACCCTCTGGTAACACGTTATCTGGAGAAGCAGACATGTCTTGGATGCTTTGCTAACGTGTAGAAGTTTTCGGGTTGGTTGACTGGTTCGTTGAGATTTTTATCAGGCTCGGAAGCGTACGGGCATATATAGGGGTGCAGTACACTCACGCCAAGTCTGTGCATCACGCATTAGGCTCCTACTCGAAACTTCTGACTATATTGGTCGAACTACGCTCGCCACTGGAGGCCAGAGAACTCTCGGCTATTTCACTCAGAGCCCAAAATAATGGTAGTTCGCCCCCATACCAAGCATGTTGATTGCTAGGACCAAGCCCATCGATGCCTAAATGCCTCGGTACTGCAATGACGCCCATGTATATTCAGCAAGCCCAGACCAGTAGTTTTGCTGGGAAAAGATATGTCCGGATGTCCTTTCGGTGGTACCTTGGGCCTGTACCAGACTATTGTCGCTTACCAAAAGCGCTTCGGCTACGAACCCAACATCAGCAGCGTGCATCATGTTATAACGGCACAAAAGCAAAGGGGTGGAGCCGTATGAACGATGCATTTTGTATTGCAATAACTATCCAAGCATCCTCAGTTCCCTCCTGACTCCCCGCCCTGACCCCCATTGGTAGTGCAGTTAACCTGACTCTCAACTCCGTCAATGTTCAAGCAAGTGTACTGGTTCGTTCCACTCGGGCTCGTAACATTAACATTCTCGATGTTGATGTTTGAGCAGACCGCCGGGCTGGAGCAGACCAAGTACCCAACAAGCGGATCGTACTTCTTGCTGGTCGTGCCGTGGAAGTTCTTGACCGTAATGTCGGAGATGGTGAGGTTGGAGGGGAACTGCGATCGCGTTAGTTTTTGAAGACGACTGGGTTGATTGATGGGAAGGGACGTACCTGATTGCAAAGAGTCAAGTTCTTCTGGCCGTAGCACTGAGTAATCTCAATCGCGTAGTCGACGTTGGAAATAGTCATGCCGTCATACGTGATGTTCTTGACAGCACCACCGCCACCTCCACCCTGCAGATCGCCGGAGAGAGCGGAAGAAGCACCAGGCCAGACCTTGATACGCGCACCGTCCGAAGCATTCGACATGCTGATGTTGTATACGTAGACGTTCTCGACGATATCAACTTCGCCTGGGTACTGGCCCAGAGAACCGACACTGATACCGTGACTACCGTTGCAGATGAGGTTCTGAACAACGATGTTGGTGCTGTTAGGCTTGAAGGAAACACAATCGTCACCATTGTCGATATGCGAATTCTGAATCACAATGTTGTCGGACCGGTACGTGTCCCAGCCATCCGTGTTCTTAGCGGGGTTCTTGCTCTTGCTGCCGCCGAAGATGTCGATGTTGTCGAACACCACATCGGTCGAGTTGGCAACAAATGTATACCATTGTGGACTGTATCGGAACTTCAAGTCGGAGATAGTCGCGCCTTCCGCGCCGATTACACCGAACAGAATGGGGCGCAGGATGTAGATGTCCTCGGCATAGAGATCGTACCAGGCCTGGCCATTTCCATCTAGAGTGCCGCCGCCGTAGACGTTGACGTCTTTGCCGCCGAGCTGGAAGAAAGTGGTGGCGTTTTGGTAGATTTGCTTGAAGGAATTGGCTTGCCAGTAGTCTGTGTCGTTTGTGAACTGGATGGATCCTTGGATGTCTTTTGATCGTTAGTAATGGAAGATAATAGATTTCTGGAGGTGTCATACCCAGATCGATGCTGTTGAGGAAAGTAAGATCAAGCGCGGTTCCAATGGTGAACTTCTGGTCCTTCGGGAAGACAACATGGCCGCCGTTGTTACACTGCTTGATCGCCTTCAAGATGTTGGCGGAGTCATCCTTACCACCACCGAGAGCCTTGACGCTGCAGGTCTTGGTTCGTGGCGGCGATGCCGGGCATGCTTTCTTTGGGTGATAAGGATACGCCGGGTGGTGAGGCCTCTTCGACGCGACAACCTTGACGCTTCGCTCGTCGAGAGGCGTCGAAAGTACTGCTGATGCTTGCAGCAAAGCGCACGTGAAAAGCTCGGTGACGCGCATGTTGGCAGACGTGTATGCCGATGACTTCAATGGATAAGCTGGGGTTCAACGTCTGTAGCCCGAAAACCATCGCGACCCCGACCACCTAATATACCCCCAACGCATCATCCCCAGCCGTCCGAGCCGCGGCCTTGGCCCTGGAACCTCCTCAAGATACCCGCTCCCGTAAAATTGGATGGCGCGGAGGAACTCTTCGATCATCCCCCTTCATCCTGGGGTCCCCTCACGGCCACAAGTGGCTAAACGGGTCATGGCTGTGGCGCTAAGCCAAGATCAGCGAAGCTTTCCCCACACGCCTGGGCGCTTGGCCAGCGCCATTGGTGGAGTTTCTGCGACCCCAGATTTCCGGTGCGTGCTCGCCCCACGACATAATCGCAAAAGACGGTCTACGGCTTCTACGCGTCAACGGCTGCGTTTCTGGGGTGAGCAGTTGAGTGAACGTGGCCGGCGAAGATTTTGCCGCGGAACGGCCGGCGTGGTTAAGCATGTGGTGGCTGCTTGGAAGGGCTGGGCTGGGTTGTGATTCTTTCATCATGGAGATGGGCTTACCGCGATTACTTATCCGGGCGCGCTCCGGTAATTTCGTACCTGTTGTATACCAACTCCCTCTTCTCCTGAGGTCTTCATCAGTTATCTGTTTATCCCGTAAACCGACTTGGATGTACGCAAGAGCATACTTTACGAGATACCCAGAGCCAAGTCCACCGTCTTCGTTCCGTCCCGAAAGCTTAGCAGCAGGATTTCTCTGCCAATGCAACGACGTGCGAGAAGCCATTGAGAAGGCTGATATTGAGGAACACGACCGTCAAAAAACAGTCAGCCCTTTCTATTTCCAATTACCCTCAACGGACGTCTTAGATGCGTCATGTTGAGATATCGCGATTATTCGTCTCACTCCGAAGTGTAAGCTGGCCGGAAATACCATGTGAACTCCGATAATAGGGCCGATACCTGAGAAGTTATGGCTTGCATACCAGTACCGCGGAAGTAAAATCTGCATCCGCTTAACCAGGGTCTGCGTCATTCGCTTGAGCCTGTCACGACGTCTGTAGAATTGACGAGACGACAGCTCGTCTATTGAAGCATCGACTACATGTAAAGAGCAACGCGAGGAGGAAGAGGATTCAGTATGTAATCACGATGGTGAGAAGGGGTGGAACGCTAGTAGAGACACGCACTGCTATGGTACGACGGGGGATAAGCTCCCAGTGGCGGTAGGCCGCCATCACTATGCAACGATTGAGGTGATGCACTCAATATACATCGCAACGCTACCCGGAACCATGCTATGCAACCCACAACTCCCAACCCCAGCCGAAATCAGAATACAATTATACAATACAGAGGAAAGGAACGTTTACCAACATTCATTCCATCCCCAAAGCAACACCCTTACCTCACCCGCTGTCCCTGCGATCACATCAACCAGTATAAGCCCGATAACCCATAGCACCTGCGTCCTCAAACACACACCCAGCCATGCCCATTCCCATCCCAACATCCTCACGCCAGCCCCCCTGATCCACAGGCGTCCTCGGCTCATCCGCACTTGGACTAGGACTATTAGAAAACAAACCCCCCTCAGGACTCTGCTCAAGCACATACGCCGTATCTCCAATAGGCAAGCCGTGTGACAGAGGTTGCGATAAGGAGTGTGCTGATATGGTGCGCGATAGATCGTGGTGGTGTTGCGACATGGGACTACCCGGGTAGGAGCGTGTGGGTGCAGAGAAGAGATCGAGATGAGCGTGGTGGTGCGGACCAAGGACATTGGCGTTGGAGTTATTGAGGGCAAATTCGTCGGTTCGGGAGGAGGAAGACGATGGATAGCCAAAGTCTACGTCGCTTCCGTAGTACGGGCTCGGTGGGTAGGCGTCTGCTGGTACGCTGCGATAATTCGGATCGAAAGCCGCGGGCACAGACCGGGACATGTACTGATCGTTGCCGTTACGGTATGCATCGTGCATTCTTCCGCTTCGTTTCATCCTTGCTGAGCGACGTGCAGCTTGGCCACCCTTGGCGCCGGAGGCTTGTCGCTGGGGCTGTGGTTGCTGGGTCCGGTGGCCGCGTTTGTTGGGCTGCTTGCTGCGGTAGCGGGTCGTGGATTTGACGCCTTCGCGGATGGCTTCGTCGGTTAAGCGCCACATGAAGCCTTTGCGGGATTCTTCGCCTGGTTGGTCAACCTTTTCGAAGGCCTAGGTGGGTTAGTATGTAGATCAGAAGAGAAGGAGAAAGAAGACATGACTTACCCCATTCATTGACAAATTATGTCGGATACTGTTCTGCCAGCCTTTTGTCTCCGAGGCACTGGCCTTGTCGGTGTTGGTCTTGAACCACTCGTAGATATCGCGGAGTATCATTGTATTGTTGGGAGCGTTGAGGAGGGCTTGGTAGATCAGCTGCGCGTAGGGCTGCTCTTTGTCGATGACGCCGTCTCCAGAGAGGTCGTGGGGATGTCGAGGTGTATCGTCATGAGGAGTGGATGCGCGGGTCAGGTCAGAGTACGGGCTCTGGTAGCCATTGGAATCCTCGACCTTCATATGCGCGCCATAGGGGTGATGGTCGAAGTCGTTGCTCAGCTGCATGAGCTGGCCGTTGATCTCATGGTCTGACAAGTCCATCGCGTCAAGGTGGTTCGGTGGTTCGATGTGGTATGCGGTGGGTGGATGTGAATCGGTCATACTGATATCGGCAGGAAGGCCAGAGAAGTCAACGCCGGTGTAGGATCGGGGGCAGCTTGCGTTGGAATACTGAGTCGGGTACGCGATACCGAAGTTGTCGTTGTAGGACATTCCGTTCTCGGCGTAGTTGTAGAAGTCTCCGGTACCAGGTGGAAACGGGTTAGACGCATTGTAACCTGCGCCATTCTGGGTCATGGAGCTGAGGAGGAAGTTGGCCGGTGCAGTCCACTGCATTGGCTCTTGTTCGTCGAGGCTCATGGCAGAGTGCGGGGTAGTGTCGTTGTTGGCAGGTGCAAGTCCCTGATCGGAAGGTGCGGTGAGCGGAACCTCAATAGGCAGCCTGGGGGAAAGAGACAACACCGGGTTATGGGTGTGAAAGGGAAGCGGGGCACAAAAAGCGTCTTTGGAGGGCTGGAAGGGTTCACAAAAGGCGTCTTGAGATGACTGGACGTTGTCGAATTCAGCACCCACGTCTGTGGAGGAAGGCCGATGAGGTGATTGCGCATGTGGCATAGCTGTTGTGTTGTCGGCCTCCCACGGGTCTGGACGGTAGAGATAAGGAACGTATCGATACGAATACGCCGACGTGTTGTGTGAAACCAAAAGACTGGCAGAAAATGAGAGTAGTAAAAGGCGATGCTCACAAATGAAGCGGCAGTCAAGACGTTAACATGCTCCGCCATGCCCCGGCGAATGGGATTGCCTGGAAACCTGGTCATTGTCACCTAGGCGATTCTTGCGCGGGTTCCTACTGCCAGCACACCTGCAGGCTTGACGCTGCAGCGTCGCTTGTATGGACAAACAAAGGATGAGATCTCATCGCAAGGACGGCGGATCTGAGGACCCTGGCCGCAGGCGCAGCTGCAGACGTGATGTCACGGAGCGACAAGTACCGGTACAGCATCACCGCCCCACGGCCCGAGACGCAGCCTAGAGACCCTCATTGCACTACTCCATCAACCAGTGTGAATGACTCTCTGTACCACCACTGCAGCCAACGATTGCCTGCTTGACACCGGCATACGGGAAGGCGCATACGTCCACTCATAACATCGAAAGCGCATACGGGGTGGCCCACTTGTAACATCGAAACGTCCATCGGCCTGCACGGCAGTCTCCCGCTCTTCGATGTTCCTGTCCGGCTTCTGTGCATGTCCTGGAAATTGTCCGAGAGCAAGAGGCAAGATGTTGTTCATTGTAGTTGTCAGCATACGCGTCCAAGCTATTCTTCCACGCTGTAACAATCGTCCCGACATAGGTGACTTCCTTCAAGGATCTCTATTCCTCGCCTGCAAACTCTAACCCAAAAAGGCCATTAACGGCATATGTTCTGCAGGCGCAAGGATGTGACATGATGTGCTGCGCCTGCAAAGAGGCAGTAGGCGAGCAACCGTCTGGGAGCAGACCCCACAGAGGCCTGTAACACGACTTCTACCATTTTTCTTCCGGTGAAGCTGATTCGTAGTCCTTGCCCAAGCAATAGTCATCCGTGATAGGCCCTCGTCACGGCCCTGTCACCGCTCGAAGAGGAGTGTACACCGCCAACAGACCCGAAAACGGAGATGCTGCACGTTGCGAGGATATAGGAGCCGGTAGAAACGTCACCGCCAATGTGGTGGTCACGGGTGATGGCGCAACGAGAGAAGCCTGGATTTGATACTCAAGAAGCACCTATCGATGGAGAGGGTCCTGTGCAACGTCCGCCCTATTTCTTATCCTATCGCGCCGTTTGGTTAAGAGGGGCCAGGTACAGCGGGGTAGGCTGTGAAGCGTCCATGTCACCCAAAGGAGGCTTAGCTACTTTCGATAGTATATCTGCCACGATGTTAGTGTGATGCCAGTGTGATGCCGTTCCGGTCATGCGATCTTGACATACCTTCTTGAATTGGAAGTGGAGTTGCAAGATGCCCTGCATTGCGTTAGCCACGTAGCTAGTACGTAGGGAGATGGTTGGTTCCCAGTAGGGAAAGAGCGGACGTACCTTGTCAAAGCTGCTCTTGAACCCACGTTCTCTCTTGGCGCTGTAGTCCCATTCCTTGTCGATGATGCGGAAGGCAATATCCTCATAGGGCGGGCCGGCAATGAACCGGATGAGGCACGTGTCGTCTTCACCGGCCGGAGCGAAGGACTGGCCCTTTTTGCGGCCGTTCTCCCGTTCGATCTTGTAGGTGGGTGCTTTTGATTTGTCGATGAGGTCGGGGTAGAAGATGTTGAATTTGTAGCCCTGCACGACCTTTGGTGGGGGGTTGTCGTGATCGTAGTGCGTTTGGTTGTACTTGTTCCATTCATAGCCCATCTGCACACGGTTGAAGTAGCGGGGTTTCCGGGGCTTGTAGCTGCCAGCCCACTGGGGCCGGGCGGTCGTGACTTCCTCCTCCGCGGTGAAGATTTCCTCGCCTTCCTCCACGCCTCGCGCGACTTCCCTCTCGTATAGCGCCATGGTTGCCTTGGAGTAGTCTTCTTTCTCGACCGGCGCAAATCGTGAGGCGCTCGTCGTTACCGTCTGGCTCGTCGTGGGCTGACTGCTGGTGGTGGTTGGATCGCTGGATTTGGCCTGTGACGGCACATAGCCAATCTTCTTGATCTTTCCCCTTTCGGTGGCCAGACTCTCCAGGAACGCTTTCTCATCCGTCTGTGGTAGCGCCTTGTCTTCGGCGCGCAGCTTCAGTAGGGGTTGGGGATCGAAGGCTGCATCGTATTCGACAGTCGTTGGCTGCGCCTCGCTCGCCTCATCGGTGCCGTTGAGCATAGCGTATATCCTGTTCTGGACAGATGCAGCGGCGTCAGCCTGCTGCTTGCGCAATGTCTGCAATCGCTCCCGGACAATCTCCTGCGAGACGCGCCGCAGCTTCGCCTTGGCCTTCCACACGCGCAGACTCCGCAGCAACTGTTCCCAGTAGTCGTAGTCGATTGGCTCGTCCGAATCGAGCTTCTTCTTGACCTGCACCTCTAGCGTCTCCAGCTGTTCGAACGTCTTTGGGGAGAGCAGCTGATCGATGTCGGCGGCCACGGAGCTGGTGCCGCGGGCTTCGGACTTGGAGGATTTGGACTTGCGGCGGATGTCTTTGCAGATTGCTTTGAGGGACTGAGGGGTTAGCTAGGCATCGTCTTCTAGGGGTGATTACTTACATTCCAGTAGTCGCGATTACTCCTGCTCGTCTCGAGCGTGAGGTAGTTCTCAATCTCCTTTTCCAGCTCGGCGAGATCTTCATTATTGAGACCCTCCAGCACACCTTCCGGATCGACTATGTCTAGCTCGTGGTCTTCCACCTCCTCGTCCAGCATCGACTTCTCCGTGGGATCGATAAAGCGCAGCGTGACGGCCAGCCAGTCGATGGGTCGCGCCCGCCCGCCCTTGACGCGCAGTGCCGCCTTCTTCTTGGCCTGCTGCAGCACGAAGCGATCTTCATCTGCCACCCACGCCTCCTCTGCCGCGTTTGTCGATCGTTTCGCAGGGTTGTCGTGTGCTCGTGAGTCGGCTGACCGCTTCGCTGGAATGGACGATGACGGCGCATTGCGTTGGGGAAGGCGATTGCGCTCGTTGCGCCAGGGAGGTTCACGTGACGACATCTTTCACAATAGGCTGAATTTGTAGTATGGAGATGTGTTGTTGAGGTTTGGTCTGGCCGGCGCAGATCGCGAAATCTTTGGCCGAGGCTGGTGACGTACGGCTGCCTTCCGCGCGCGCAGGGATCTACTCCCTTTTAGGAACAGCCTTGGCGCGGTTGCCTTTCATCTGCGCCTCAGCTACGCTTCACGTGTCAGCTCAAACCACACAAAGGTCGCGTGTGTCGCGCGTCTGCGCTCATTTGTAAACATGCACTCCGTCACCTCCTTCTCTCCAGGTTGAGATGTCGTGTTGGCGCGTGCTGGAGCTCTCCGAGCAGCCCGACGGCAAGCAGATTCCCCAGCTACTCATCAAACCCGCCTTCGACCTGGACTCGTACACAGTCCATCTTACCGATCTCAGCAACATCTGGAGCGAAGAGCTAAACGTGGATGACATCGTCAAGCGGGCTGCATTGGAGCAATCGCCAATCGAAGTCAGCAAACACGACGCGGCGCAGGTTGCCATCCTTCTCGAAAATGTCAAGAAACCCCTGCTCAGTGCGGAGGCTTCTATATGTCGTGTCACGCGTAACGATACGGATGGCATCACCTTACACACCAGCATAGGCCTTCCGGAGCCTCTTGGTCGCTTGTCATGGAAATTCCACTTGAAGAAACGAACGTCTACAGACCTCAAGAACGAGCTCATCCTTCCGCTCCTTGTCTCCGCCCACATCCAGAATGAACGCATCGCCGGGCTTATCTCGACAATTGCTGCCAAAGACAAGGCAATCACTCGACTTGTGGACCAGTTCGACTCCCATGGCTTGGACTTGGCTGCCGCCTTCCCTAGCGCTGGTGGAATGAGGGCGGGACGAAAGAAAGTCAAACGTGAACAAGCGGAAAAGCACGTTCCCGCCTTGCGGTCTTTCCACGAGGAAGCATGGCGGCAGGATACCGAGCAACTGAAAGACACAAACCTGACGACGCTAGGCTTATTCCAGGAAGCACTAGCACAGAGCACTCCTACAGTACCTTCGGAGTTGAAGTCGGGTGATTTTGAGACTACATGGTGGACTGATGTACCTACTCAGTTGAGCATGCCGAAGGCCCCAGTCAAGACCAAGGCCAAAACGCCTCCTGCGGCATCAAAGCCAGCAAAACCAGCTATGGATTCTGGTGATGAGACAGAAGAAGAGTTTGAGACTCATGTGAACTTCAAGGTAAGGGTTTGGAGAAGTACTGTAGTGCGCAATAACTAAGACTTCCAGACACGCGAACTCGGCAAAAGGCCAACACAGACTCCTGCGCCATTACCGTCGTCGCCCCTCGACAAGGCCAGCGAGACGGAAGATGACAGTACTGAGGACGATGAGGATCTGGATGCGCCTCCCAAGAGTCAGAGCCAGAGTCTAAGTCGGACCCCACAGAAGCCAACTCGTAAAAGGACGCCCACGCCGGAACCCCGTTCCTCGCCAAAAGTGACTACATCGACAGCGCAGAAGCCAAAGGTCAGTAGCTTCCGAATAGGCGGGAAGTCGAAAAGAGCAACCGAGTCTCCTCCGTCATCGCCGCCAAAACCCGCGGATGTAGAGCCAGAACCAGCGGTCCTACCGACCAGAGAATCTGTACCTCCTTCTCAGCCCAGCCAAGCGACAACGCCAAAGAAGACCCGAAAGCCGTTCAGAATCGGTGGTAAGGGCAAGAAAGCCGAAGATGGGGCTTCACAGCGCGAGATGACAGCTTCACCAAGCACCCAGCGCTTTAGGGCAACGCAATCGCCGACGGCCGAGCCTCCATCGTCTCCACCGAGGGTAAAGGAGATGACGCCTGTCGAGGAGGTTCACGAAGAGACACCTGAGGAGAAGGCGGAGCGGAAGCGCGCTGAGTTGAAGCGGAAGAACGAAGAGGCAGCGAAGAAGCAGGCACATGCAAAGAAAAAGAAGAGGTTCTGAGGCATAGGCCTTTTGTATACCGCGGCTGTCAAGGAAACTCTTCCAATTTGGACATCTCTTCGCAGCGTTGATATCCCATGACCGGCAACTCGTATGCTTGTTAAGTCGTCATTGTTTTCACTGCTACGTCTCACATGGACAGAGAAAACCGTGAACTATGCACTTGATCAAATTCCGTGTCCATGGCATTTAGCCCAGCAAACAACGTGCGTAGTCTACTACAGTCTGCTCGAGGTAAGGCGGGTCCAAAGATCCTGATTGAAGTCCACCTTCACCTGCGATCGCGCGCTCCTTCCGCGTCCGTCACCTCCGTTTGTTTACCTCGCGCCTGCTAGTCGCGCACCACGCTCAACACCGCTCCTTCTCCAACCTCACCTCCACCTTCCCTCTACACATCTTTTGGATAACCGACGTCGACCCTTCCTGCTGGTTGCGGTTGACAACCGCTACCCGGCATCATGTGTTTATATCATTACTCTTACGTCGCGGTCTGTGACCACGCCGAGTTCACCAGAATATCCTACTGCAGCAACGCGATAACACTTGGTCTGCCTAGAACGTAAGCACTCCATTCTCGAGCACTATCATGCCTTTGCTAATAATTCCAGCGTCAGTCATTTGCCAGACGACCCCAGTGCAGACGGCAATCCCGACACTCAGTCTGGCTCATCTACTCCTCGACCAGCATCATCCGCCAACAACAGTAGCTCATCGCATTCGCAGTCGCATTCGCATACTCAGCAGCAGTACCAGCCACAGCTTAACAACAACATGTCCACTCTCACGCCGTCTGAAGCTGGCCGCGCGCCGACCTGGGACGCCATCGTCCAGGAGCGAGATGCACAGGTTCATCATCAGACTGCCTTCATCCCACGCTCTGCCCTTGCCGACGGACCTCGTACAAAGCGGGCAAACACTCTCAATGACGCTAGACCTGTATTGGATACACCTGGTTCCAGGAATGTCAACATTGATATTCCATTGGATCCGCAGTCTTTGTTGCATATGGAAGTCACTCATGATGGTATGGTTACTGAGCTAGTCGCTCGATTTGAGTCTTATGACGCTTACTCTGACGCCTGCGAAGTATCTAACGATGACCCTACCGAGTCATCTTCTGGTATCGACAGCGCCGCTGCACATCAGGAGCAATTCGAGCAGCAGTACGACGCGTATACCATCGGCACATCAGGACGCAGTCCCCGCAAATCCATACCCACTCAATGGCTTACGAAGAGTACCGCCCCCAACCTCGCAACGGCGCAGCGTGCAAAGGCGCGTACATCCAAGACAGCATGGGACAGTGACTCTCCAGATGAAGTCAAGACACTCCGTGGAACACGTAGTTCTGTCGATCTTGGTCGAACACACGGCAAGGAAGGCGCAACCTATCTCACAAAGGAAGCACTAGCTACTGTCGAGAACACCATAGCATCGCCCACGTCTCCACTCAGCCCTAGCAGACTGCATGGCTCTCCAAGGAAGCGACCGTGGAACAGTCCCACCGGATCGCCTCTCCGTAGCAGCGCCCGCCATCAGTCCAGCTTCTCACTTCGCGTGTCGCCGACCAAGTTAACACACCTCAACACCGACTCGATTTCTGCAGGACACTCGCGAGCATCTAGCAGCGTTGCGACTTCCACTGGCAGGGCTTCGTTTCACACTGCACAGGGGTCGCCAGTAAGGAGTCCTGCAAGCACGGAGCACAGCTTCCAGTCTGCTGCAGAGAACCCTGAAGACCTTGACGTCCCCAGTGTTGACTTGTATGCTGACAGCGATGATGAGCAGGTGCAGCACGAGTCCGGTAGTCCGCGATCTGCCACCGCGAGAACGAACGCTGAAGGAAAGCGAAAGTCATTGACACCGAGGCTTTCGCTTGTCATTCCTACGCCTGGCCGTGACAATCATGAAGGTTCCATGGACTCCCGCGTTGCCGGCGGTCCGCTGAGTCCGGAATCGCCCACCCAGGTGTCTCGCATTCCCCGAGCCGGCACCAGCAGCAAGACCGCGCCCCCCGTACGCACCATCAAGCGCGTCGAATCTGTCAAGTCATTGCAGAAGAAGATCAAGGAGCTACAGCTAGCTATGCAGATGGATGCAGCCCAGTTAGATGCTATCCAGATCCCCCTACCCGCGACGCCCGCGCCGGCCCCTCTACGCCATGTCCGCACCGTCGACAGCACCGGTTCGACTCCGATCATTTCGCGAAGTTCTGGGTCACACAAGCATAGTGGAATGGCTGATGTTGCTTCTGAAGATGACCAAAACCAGTCCACTCGCGGCAAGGGCCCTGCCATTTCGGCCGATGTCACCAGCCCAGACCAGCCAAACGACGCACCGGGATGTGATGCTAGCTACGAGCACGCTCAAATGTCCAACTTCGATCAAGAGGCAGCGCATAACGCCGTACAACCCAAGAACGTGCCATGGGGTGTTCCGAGAAGTCTTGCTCATGGTACGACGCTCACACGTCCTATCAGCGTACCCGCGATCGTCGTCATGATGGCTCACAATTTGGACATAGGGAACCTGAACCTCAACACCCAACAACACGAGGCTGCTTCCGACTCCACGAACCGAGTCGATGACGTCGAGAACACGTCTTCATCCAGAGGGCGGAGTGAACGGTATGTACCCAGTGATCGTAATCAAGCAGACAGCGGGCGTTCATCGCAATCTAGTATGGGCTCGGACCTTCGCGCAACTGCTACGGAATTCGTACCTCAGCCTCCGACCACGACCAGTCCGATCGATGTTACCACGGAGAACACACCTCTCAGTCAATCTCTCGACAAAGCCGACCTGCCGGATGCGACGGTGCTCGATAGAAACGGCGTACCGTTCCTTTGGTACATGTACGGCGTACAGTTTGCTTACGAACAGGGTTACCGCAACGGTCGTCCAAAGTCACCCAAGAAGTACAAGCCAAACAAGAACCCGCGCAAGTCTATCTCCTCTCCAGCCGATGCTGCGCCATATTCCTCAAAGGCCGTCCCCATCAACAACCCCGGACCAGCAACTCCTCTTTCGGCGGCAGCGAAGCAGCGCATGACATCCGCAGAGCTG